CTTAACCAAAAGAAGGCTGAGGGGAGACATGATTGCTCTCTTTAAATATATGAGAGGGATAAATACAAGGGAGAGGAATTATTTAACCTCAATATCAATGTGGACACAAGAACAAATGGATATAAACTGGTGATCAGGAAGTTTAGACTCGAAATTAGACGAAGGTTTCTAACCATTAGAGGAGTGACGTTTTGGAACAGCCTTCCTGGGGAGTAGTGGGGGCAAAAGACCTACCTGGCTTCAAGATTAAGCTAGTTGGGTTTATGAAGGGGATGGTTTGATTAGATAACATGATCTTGGCAACTAATTGACCTTTCACTATCGGTGGTAAATAGGCCAATGGCGGGATGATAGGAGTTACTATAGAGAACTTTTTCCTGGGTGTCTGGCTGGTGAGTCTTGCCCACATGCTCAGGGTTCAGCTGATTGCCATATTTGGGGTCGGGAAGGAATTTTCCTCCAGGGTAGAGGCCCTGGAGGTTTTTCGCCTTCCTCTGTAGCATGGAGCATGGCTCACTTGCTGGAGGATTCTCTGCATCTTGGGGTCTTCAAACCATTATTTGAGGACTTCAATATCTGAGATATAGGTGAGAGGATTATTCCAGGAGTGGGTGGGTGAGATTCTGTGGCCTGCACTGTGCAGGGGGTCAGACAGATGATCATAATGGTCCCTTCTGACCTTAAAGTCTATGAGTCTATGAGTCTATGTTCTGCAGCAATAAGGTTCTGACAGCAGGAGAGGCACCGGTGCTGCTAGTTTAAGTGGGCTTCAGACCAGCTCCTCCACCACAACAGAGGGAGAATAGCCTTGAGTCAGTGGGAGTGCCAGTTGGCTGCTGCCATAGAGGACACATGTGCACCCCCTGTTTCTCCATGGACACGTACTGGAGGCGGATGTTTGTGCTCTCCGTTCCATCTGATAGCTAAACGCCTTCCTTGATATTCAACATTCTGGTCACCATCTGCAAAGCACAAAAGGTCAGAGACCACCACTCAACCTGTGTTTGTCTGGATGGGGCTTGGGCATTCTCAGCAGCAGGCCCTCTCCCCTGGAATTTGCTTCCTACAGAAACTGGCCTGAATAAGCCCAATCCAGGCCACTTCCCACTGACACCTAACACACACTGCTTTGTCCAGGCTTTTTCATCATTTCTGGATCTGCCTATCCTTTCACCTAACTTACTAGTAACAAGGACTTTATCCTTCTGAAGTTGATGTTAGTTCTCACAGGATCTTGGTCTATCTGAGGTCTTGGTGTCAGTTTAACCAGGCACAGATCACCTCCATACTGTAGGAGTCAGGGCCTGTAATAGAAACAATTAAACTATTTCTGCCTTTATACGCACAAACAGGGCACTGATTAGCTGGGTTAATTATTGTGCACAGATCTAAGGCCCATAGGTACTTTATATTGCTAAGGCTAGTGTTATTCAGGAAATAGAGTCCAGGAATAAGACTTTGGGGTGGATGAGGAAGAAGGGAGAATTCTATCTCCACCAAACTACTACACTGTTATACTGTTCAGGCAATATTGAGCCACTTTATGTAAGCACGGTCTCTTCTTGGGTTACAAGGCAGCTGATAGTTAAACCTCTGTTTTCTTTGGTACAGTACATGGTCCATCTGAAATAACCCACAATTAACAGCAGGGCTACAGTATATAAAGTGTAGCATGTCTGTAATAGTTTAGCCATATTAGAGGAACTGAAGAACAATCCTCTACAAACCGCAGAGCATCATAATCCTTGTTAGAATGACACAGGCTTGAACTCTGGAGGCATGTGCATATAATGCCAACAGGCAGAATTGAACCTGGGAACCTCTGGGCTATGTCTACACTGCAGGCTTCTTCTGCAAGAACAGTTTTGCGCAAGAGTTCTTGTGCAAAAGGTCTTCCACAAGAGCGTGTCCACACTGCCATGTGCTTTTGAGCAACAGATGTGCTTTTGCGCAAGAGTGTCCATGGTAGTGTGTACGCTCTCTTGCGCAAGAAAGCTCTGATGGCCATTTTAGCCATAGGGGTTTCTTGCGCAAGAAATTCATGTTGCCTGTCTACACTGCCTTCTTGTGGAAGAACTCTTGTGCAAGAGGGCTTATTCCTCGTGGGGAGAGGATAACTCTTCCAGAAGAAGCCCTGTTTTCCGACGCTGTACTGTAAATTTACTTGCGCAAGAACGTGTGTAGACACTCTGCAAGTTTTTGTGCAAGAAAGTTCTTGGGCAAAAAGCCTGCAGTGTAGATGTAGCCCTGGAGTTTAGTGCATGAGCCTCTACCACTTGAGCTAAAAGCCAGCTGGCTCTTAGCTAAGGTTGTAGGGAAGACTCATTATTCTCTCTAGGTATGTATAGACTACATGCCTCTGCTGGCAGAGACATGAAATTAGACATACTGACATAGTCAATGAAGCGGGGATTTAACTATCCCCTGCTTCATTAAAATAAAAATGGCTGCCACGTTGTGCCAGTTCAGCTGATCATTGGCACAACACGGCAGTCAAGACGTGGATCGGTCGACAAGGAAAGCCTTTGTCAACCGATTCTGTAAACATCGTTTCACGAGGCATAAGGGATTGGTCGACAATGGCTTTCCTTGCCGACCGATCCGCGTCTTGACTGACACGTTGTGCCAATGATCAGCTGAGTCAACACAACGCAGTGGCCATTTTTATTTTAATGAAGCGGGGGATATTTAAATCCCCGCTTCATTGACTATGTTGGTATGTCTAATTTACGTGCCTCTGCCGGCAGAGGCATGTCATCTAGACATACCCTCTGTAAGTGGTCTCAGTGCCTCTAAAAGTGACAATACATTACACTCAGTAGATGTGTGGGTTACAGCTGCGTGAATCATGAGCTTGTGGAGGAATCTGTGGGTTTGCTGATGGTGTTTTGAACTGGTTTTTAGGCATGTCTAAAAAATTTCCATTGGAATCCTCCCTCTCTTTATTTTAAATAGAAAATTAATTTTCAGCTTAAAATGCTTCTACCCCTTGGAGACAAAGACTTTCATTGCTTCTGTTACACCATCCTGACTGAATCTAGATAGTTGAGGCAAAGGCCTGGACTCTCTTAACTTGCCCCTGCAGTGCCAGAGTTATTACCAGTGTTCCCTCTAAGCTGAGCACTTGGGCAACCACCCAGGAGAGATTCACACGCTGCACAGCTGATGAGCAGAGCGCCCTACTTTGGCAGCATGTGTTTCTATTGGTGGTGCACATTTGCACATGCCTCAGTACACATAACAAAATGTATTCTGCACATGAATGGAAAAGATTAGAGGGAATATTGGTCATCACCATAGGAACTGCGTGAAAAATGAGTAAAATGGTTCCTTATTCTCACTCTCTGTCCTTTACAGATGCCCATGAACAAGCACAAAGGGAGTCACTGCTGCTTAGCAGGGTACCCCGCCCTATTGACATAATCAGGCCTGAGGTGCTAAGCCCTTGTGAGGATCAGGCCATGAGACTAGGCAGAGACCACATTCTCTGCTGTTTTGTACAGGGCTAGCACTCAGTCATCACTCAATAAAGCACAGCAATGCACTGTCATTCAGTTCTCACGCAATTTACTCAGTCGTTGTCACTACCCCTTTGCCCCACTGTCTCTCTCTTACTCACAATAATAATTATTAGTCTTCTTGAAACACAGCAAGAAATGTTTAACTGATCGATCCCTGTTACCTCCAAAGCTGCTGGAGAAGCACCAGACTTAAAAAGGGGCCAAAATAAATTATTTTAGTGGTACTAGCAATGGGTTTGAAGAAGTATATTTTACTTCAAATATAAACAGTCCTAAGGCTATTGTTACTCTGCCAGCAGCAGCCAAGACCTGGGCTTGGCAAATATCTGGTGGGTCACAGCCTTTTTCAGCTCCTCACAGACACTCGGGGTCGAGAGCTGTTCCTCAGCCCAGATACTCGCTGTCAGAACAAGCGATAACATTGCAAATTGCTACCCAGTTCTCACATAGCTATCCTGTCCCACACCCAGACAGATGGGTAACACTTGGTTTCTTCTCTTCATTTTTTTTTTATTCTAATTTTGTCTGGTTGAATAACATGTGTGGAAATTTTTATCTATCTCAGGTGCCAATGCACTTTTTGCCAGCAGTGCATATGGATGGACTCGGTTCTGAGCTCCCAGGGGTTGCCACACACTGTTAAAAAGACCATGTTAGGCATGTGTACACACCCATACACAATGGCTGTGTCTACACTGCACCCCTTTTCCGGAAAAGGGATGCAGATGAGACAAGTCGGAATTGCAAATGAAGCGGGAATTTAAATATCCCCCACTTCATTTGTATAAACATGGCTGCCGCTTTTTTCCGGCTTGCGGCTTTGCTAGAGAAAAGCGCCAATCTAGACGGGGATCTTTCGGAAAATAAAGCCTTTTCCGAAAGGTCCCTTATTCCTGATTTTAAGACACAGCCAATATGTGTACACAGATTGTATTTGCAGATGTTCAGCGGCTAGCCAGCCTCCTACTTTGCCCACACAACTGCACATTCATGTATCCCTGAGCACATGAATAGCTGGGTGAAGATAACTAGCCTGTGCTAGGCTCAGGTCAGACTTCTGCTGGGAGTCCCTTCTGGCCTTAAAGCTTCTGAAAATATACACACAAAATAACACCTTCCAGAGGCCAGAATGAGCTGCCTAGGAGGATTATGTCTGTTGTACTAATAGCGTTTGGCAGTGCCCAAAACACTCTAAGCATGCTCCTGATGTACAGGCCAGCAGCTGTGGCCCAACCTCCTTCCCACACCTTTCTGCATAGGTGGGAATTAGGGAAGGAGCAATCCCTGCATGCCTGACAGCAGAAGGTCTGTAACTGCACCCACGGTCTTTATAGAATGGAATGTGAGCAAAATTCATTGCCCTCCCCATCCTACACTGACCACCCATGTAAAAATCGAGCACTGCAAAGCCCATATTATCTTCCTCCTTCTTGTCTTGCACACTGTATTTTCTCATGGCCATTTGTGCTTTCTAAACAGGTGTTTGTTATGCTGAGTTCGGAGTGCGTGTCCCGAAAACCACAGGCTCTGCCTACACCTACAGCTACGTGACAGTCGGGGAGTTTGTGGCATTTTTTATTGGCTGGAACCTGATCCTGGAGTACCTGATTGGCACAGCAGCTGGTGCAAGTGCCCTCAGCAGCATGTTTGACTCCCTGGCAAATCACACCATCAGCCGTTGGATGGTTGACAGTGTTGGAACCTTAAATGGACTGGGTGAGCCTTAGATTAATACTCTTTTCATGCAATGTGTTGTGACGTGTGTTAATTGGGGCTTGAAAGACAACAGGAATCTCCTTGGAATTCAGACAAGGACCACATGTGCTGTTCACTATCTACTACCCATTCACCTCTGCCAGGGATCACCTAAAATAAGGTGCCACTAAATCTTTGTTCTCAGAATAGACTCACAGACCATCTTGCTGCTTTACTTATTGTTTGTTCTCCCCTTACGGTATCCTTTGTCTCCCAGCTCTGCCTCAGTCTGCTCTCTGGGGCAGTGACTGTGCCTTCTTTATGAATCTAGTACACTGAAGGCAACAGTGGAAAAAACAGTAAATATTATGCGTATTGGGTCTGATCCTGTGATGTTCAACTCCTAGGTTTTGCGTGGGAGCACTGTATGGATAAGGGCCAGGACAGATTTTGGAGATGGCTCATAACTCTTTCACAGCTCATTGGTGTTCAGAGCCGGTGCTCCAGTTTGAGCATATGTTTGCACAGATACTGCTCTTCAGTTGGGCAAGAAGGTGCTGAACATGGTATTCAACATGCTGAATTGCCTCCCTCTCTACAACTTGAATTGAAACGGTTGTGGTGATGTAATGCAGCCTCCTCTCTGATCCTGTTCACTGCCCTGGTGTTGGTATAGCTTGAAATGGCAACCCAGTCTTGCTATTGGAGTGATTTGCAGGCATCCCAAGAGAGCTGGTGTGAGATGACAGCTTACATCTCTGGTGTCAGGTGTGCTGTCATGCACAAGATCCCCTCCCTTCTGTAGGTCTGGTTCTCTGCTCAGGAGGGAGCCTTCGTCTGGCTGTTTGGGCCTTTGGGCCCCATAGCTAAAGCACAAGTCTTTCAAAACAAAGCCCAGTTAATCGCTGTCCCAAACAAATCCCCCTTCCTCCTTGGGCAGTTGTCCTCTGCCTAGGGTCTGTGCAACCTGCAAGTCCTGTTCCTTGATTACAGGCATCACTTTCTCCTCTTGTACCAGGAGCCAACCCGTCCTTCATTCTCACAAAGCCATAACTTCTCCCTGAATCCTTTCCCTTCATTTCAGGGGCTTCCCAGCACCTCAAGAGCACTGAAAAGGAGCCCAGGCTCTGCGACCCTGGCCTGTACTACGCAGCAGCTCTCTTCTGGTCCCTCCAAACTACCCTACTCACAATTCCCAGTGCTCTTTGCATACAACTTCCCCTACCTCATCTTGGCCCTCCCTAGCATCTTTCCCAGACTCTCTTCCCAGCAGGGAACCACACCAGCCCTGACCAGGTCCCCAGCCTTGGAGAGCTTTCTTATCCCAGTGCTGTCCTTCCTTTGACTCTCTTCATCTTCCCAACAGCAGGGGATCACAAAGCCTTAACTACAGGGGAGCCAGCCAAGTCCCATTCCCTCTTTACACCAGGAACGAAGACTTGTCTTTAACTCGCTCACCCTTCCCAGCAAGGCTTGCTGTAGCATATAGTCGTCTAGGAAGAAAATTGGGTACAAATGCCTGGTTCATGCCTCATCCATGCCTGGATTTCCTGTTAGATGAGATCATCTTATGAGCTGTGGGTTTTCAGGAGGGATGTCTGAAAATGCCAACCAATCCTGTTGAGTACCCTCTCCTCACCTAAGGCCCAATCTTGCAAGATGCTGAGCTCCTTCATTTTCCGCTGAAATCTTACTTTGCAAAATCAGGCCTTTAATGCAGACACAACTGGAAGTGGGAGCCTGTTAATTCCTCAATGGCTCATGAGGGTGGGACCTTTGTGAGTGACTGTATCGAAATCCTGTTGCTAATCCCTTCATTCACACAGGGACTCTCTCCTGCTGATACACACGGGATGCTGACCAGAGACAAGACAGTTTAAAAAGACACAAAACCACAGTGTAAAAGTGAAGATAGGATTTAAAAAGCCAAGCTGTCTGGGGATCCTCTCCAAAGGGCATAGTGTTTGTGAAAGCCCTGTGGTTGCCAGTGAGGAAAATGTCTCCGGGAAACATGATCTACAGACTAAGGCTTGCTGTAGCAAAGAAGTCTTGACCCATAGACAGGCACTGTCCTGCACTCTCCTGATCAAAGCTATTGAGATATACAGCACATGATCCAGTTGCCGCTCATCCTTCTTGCTGCCCTGTTTGATCAAGAACTGGTGTTTCCAGTCTTCATCATTCTGCTCTTTCCACACAATTCTGTAGGCTGTTTTGTCCTGTGCTAGTGACAGAATTTGTAGCATGGCTCTCTTATCCCTGAGGCATTTCCCATATGGTGACACAACTGGAAAATACTGGTTGGCTGGAGGGAGCATTCTTTGACGCAATCAGAGGGGCCAAAATAAATCACTTTAGTGGTACTAGTAATGGGTTTGAAGCAGCATGTTTTGCTTCAAATGCAAACAGTCTCAAAGATTGGCTTGTTTCAATCAAGTGTTATACATGGGCTCAAGTGGTGAAGTTGGGAACTGGAGTGGAACTTCCCTGAAATTTGGGCAGAAAAATGGTCTGGGGCTTCTGACTGAGCCCAACTCTAATGTACACCTATTGGATGGAAAACAAGGGGCTACGTCTACACTGGCAGCTTCTTGCACAAGAACTGTTTTGCGGAAGAGTTCTAACACAAAAAGTCTTCCACAAAGCATCTACACTGGCATGTGCTTTTGCACAAGAGATGTGCTTTTGCACAAGAGCATCTATGGCAGTGTGTCTGGTAGATGGATTTCCATTCAAAACAGCTACATGCAGTGCCTTGCATGTAGAATAGTGATAGAGATGCCGTTTGGAATGGAAATCCATCACGGCTGCATCTCTATCACTATGGCAGTGTGAACACTCTCTTGAGCAAGAAAGCTCTGATGGCCATTTTAGCCATAGGGGTTTCTTGCGCATGTTGCCTGTCTACACTGCCCTCTTGCGCAAGAGGGCTTATTCCTCGTGGGAAGAGGAATAACTCTTCTGGAAGAAGCCCTGTTTTCCGACGCTAGACTGCAAATTTACTTGCGCAAGAACGCATGTGCAGTGTAGACACCTGGCAAGTTTTTGCACAAGAATATCTGTTCTTGAGCAAGAAGCCACCAGTGTAGACGTAGCCCCTGTGTTTCATCCTCTGTCTTTGCTAAAGTTCTCTCTGACTACTGTGGTATACGGACACTACATGATTTCAGGGGAGTGCCTGTCATAGATACACAGATGTTGATAAAGATACCTCCTAGCTGAAGCAATATACTTCCAATCTAGTGCAGCAGCAGGTGAGAGAGTACATGCATAGATGCTGTGTTAGCAGGCTGGCAATCAAAGCAACTTCTCCAGACCCCAATTCCTAGTTAATCATATGGGCTCTATCTGTAATGAAATGAGCACCGAGCCAATGGCAGTTTTTAAAGCTAAATCACAATATATACATTATGCTGTTTAATTTTACATTCCCTGCTATTGCCAGTGCAGAGTCACTCAATAAACACAGATGGCAGTCTGTAAAGCCCATGGAGTAGTGGTGGGCAACCTGCCCACCTCGCCCATCAGGGTTCTACGTGTGGCCTGCAAGACATTTTGTTTTCCGACCAGTATTACTAAAGCAATGCTCATGGGAAGGGAGGTGTGTGCTGATTGCACACAATGCTGACTGCGCCTGCTCCTTCTGCATCCAGTCATTCGACATACATCGCAAATTCTAAGTACACAAGTGTAATTAGCAAAATTACCCTATCCCAGGAGACCTTCTTGGTTACAATGTTGAACTGTCGACCCCCTGAGATGAAGGGTGGCCACTCGCGCAAACAACTCACTAACCTAGGTTGTCTGTTGCTGCTGTGGAGGGTTTAGGGATTCAGCAACTTGGCTTTTGCAGACAAGAACAGTTCAGAGCCACTTTTCATTATCGCTGTCTAGATTTCCGTCTGCTGGGACCAACCAGCTGCCCAAAACACAAGCATCTTGCTAGTTTCCTTGATTTCCCTGATTTGTCTAATTTGCGCTTGATTTCCCCGATTTGCCCTAACATGTCTCTGTGGCTAATGCTACTGAGTAGCAGTTGATCCCAGTTCTGATATATGCATCTTACAAAATTAATATTTGATTCATTTTTAGTTTGAGGCTGGCAGAACTGTATGACTTGGCAATATTGGAAAATGGAGGCATCTTATATAATTTAGGACATGATCTTTCATTCTTTGCTCACCCAAAATTCCCTTTGACTTCAGGGCAAAAAAATGGAGGCTGGGGCCTTTCTTCTAAAAGAAAAATGACAATCCATTAACAGTAAACAATTTGACACACAACTGAGAGCTCTGGGCATGGAAACATAGGCAATGCTGTACTCAGAAGAGACCAATAGTCCAGTATGTTGGTTCCTACAAAATCCTTCCCAGAAAGGTGATAAAACATTTCAAGGCACCTAGTTGTGCCATTCTGTGTAATGGGGGAAAATGTCTTCCTGACCCTAGCTAGCAATTATTTTATGCCTTAAAGCCTGGGAACTGAACATCTTTGAAATGTATCATGGCTAATGTAAGAGAGGTGCTTTGAATTTGTGCCTCGAAACCAGGGCAAGGTGCACATGAACTATTGATAACTGGTAAGCCTTTGCATTAAGATTAAAGAAGACAGGGGAGGGGATTTTCCTGAGGTCCCTCCCTCTCTCTCTCTCTCTCTCTCTCTCTCTCTCTCGCTGTGGTTGTAAAGTTACACATACAGTTTGTTTTGTTTATATAGGGAATGGAGAAGAATCATATCCAGATCTTCTCGCGTTGGCTATTGCGGTCATTGTAACCATCATTGTCGCCATGGGGGTGAAGAACTCTGTGGGATTTAACAACGTGCTCAATGCAATTAACCTGGCAGTATGGATCTTCATCATAGTTGCTGGGCTTGTCTTTGTCAATGGTGACAACTGGTCTGAAGGGCAGTTCTTGCCATTTGGATGGTCTGGGGTAAGTGTCTTACACACAATCTGGTAAGCGATGGTCAGCAGCAGCCTTCAACTGAAGCATTCTAGCTGCCCACAGAAGTCCCACACCATATAACCAGCACCAGTCCAATTCCTATCTGCCATGCTAGCAGGTCTTCAGTATTTATTTGTATTACAGTAGCACATTAAGGCCCCAACTGAGATCAGAGCCCCAGTATGCTAGACACCATCTGTACACATCCATACCAAGAGAGAGATCCTGCTCAGAGGAGCAATAGTCTAACACAAACGCAACAGACAAAAGAGTGGGAGAAGCAATGGGGGTAAAGCAAGCTGCCCAATGTCACAAACAGCAGGTCAATGGCAGAACTTGGAATAGAATCTATGTGAACTGACATCTAGTCCAGGGCCCTAGTCACTGGCCCATATTACCTTCAAGTTATAGAACAACTGAAATCTTTAGTCACCTTCCCCTCCCCTGCTTCATTCTAGGCCTAGTCTACGTGAGGCCTCCCTTCCCCTCCCCTCCCCTCTTGATCTAAGATACACAACTTCAGGTATGCAAAGAGCACAGCTGAAGTTGACATACTTACCATGGTGTCTTACAAAGGATAAGGTTTATAGGGGCTGCTCTCCAGTTACTCTCTCTGCTCTTCTCCTCCTGGAGAAGCACAGTAGTAAACAGGTGATCACTCAGAGGTGTCTACTCTTCTCCTCCTGGAGCACAGTAGTAAACAGGTGATCACTCAGAGGTCCATTTATCATGGGACATAATAAATCAACTGCTGGTGGATCGATCACGACAGTGTCAATCTGCCATGTAGTGGAGACAAGCCCTTAGAAAGCACCTTGGTTTCCTCTCCTGACTTATGGGCCATGTGGAGAGGCCTGAAAGGTGCTACGTCCACACTGCAGGAATTTGTCGGCAGAGGCAATGCAAATGACGCACTCATTAGCATTTCTCACGCTCTCATTTGCATAGTCTCTTCCGAACCGTTTTGAGCAAGAGGTTTTTGCGGAAAAAAACTCAGTGTAGATGGGGCTATTTTGCGCCAAAAAAAAAAAAACTTTCTAGGAATACAGGATCTTGCGCAAAAGGGTTTTTTTGCGCAAAACAGCCCTGTCTACACTGCTTGTTTTTGCGCAAAAACCTCTTCTGCAAAAAGGTTCGGCAGAGACTATGCAAACGAGAGCGTGAGAAATGCTAATGAGTGCTTCATTTGCATTGTCTCTGCCGACAAAAGGCAGCAGTATAGACATAGCCATAAACGGGTTATCCACTGTCTGCGGAGGTGGAGCACAGGTAAACAAGAGCAGTTGAGGTATTGTACTCTGATTATATCTGAGAAAGAGGGGAAACCAGGATGGCAGTGGAGAGGGAGCTATCTGAGCTCTCCAAAGGGCTGCTGTATACTGACCGCCCAGAGACAGAATTACAGAGCAATAACAGAGGGACTTTCAAAAAGAATTAAAAATGAGCCAAAACTGGGACCATTCTTCCAAACCCCCTCAAACCCTGGGAGTCCAAATCATACAGAATCCAGGTCCCAGCTCTCATCCAGAGACCAAACCCTAACCCACCTGAAACAACTAGACTGATAGAAATGAGCTGAACAGAATCATTTTCCAACGTGCCTACATGATTTAGGAACCTAAATCACATTGAGTTTTAATGGAAACCAGTCTCCTGAGTGACTTAAGTGCTTTTGACCCTTTTACACCCAAGGGCTATGTCTAGACTGGCATGATTTTCCGGAAATACTTTTAACAGAAAAGTTTTCCGTTAAAAGCATTTTCGGAACAGAGCGTCTAGATTGGCACGGACACTTTTCCGCAAAAGCACTTTTTGCGGAAAAGCGTCCGTGCCAATCTAGACACGCTTTTGCACAAAAAAGCCCCAATCGCCATTTTCACAATCAGGGCTTTTTTGCGGAAAACAAATCTCAGCTGTCTACACTGGCCCTTTTGCGCAAAAGTTTGCGCAAAAGGGACTTTTGCCCGAATGGGAGCAGCATAGTATTTCCGCAAAAAGCACTGATTTCTTATAGTAGGAAGTCAGTGCTTTTGCGGAAATTCAAGTGGCCAGTGTAGACAGCTGGCAAGTTTTTCTGGAAAAGCGGTTGATTTTCCGGAAAAACTGGCCAGTCTAGACACAGCCACGGTGTTTTACTGAAACACTGCTCCCTGCTCAATGTGGTGAGCTGGGCTACTCTGGGATCTAGATCCCAACCCTTTTTGCAGCTACATAACCAAACCCCAAACAACATTTGCCCATCTTTGAAAAAGTGACTTGTGATCCAGTCTTCCTTCACTCCATCAGACCAATCTTAGAACTTTTTCTTAGGGTATGTCTACACTAGCTCCCAGGTCGAACTACAGTGGCTAATGCGGGCGACCGAAATTGCAAATGACGTGTGGGATTTAAATATCCTGCACTTCATTAGCATGTTCCCGGGCGGTTGCCATTTTGGAAATTTACAAGCCCGGAGGAACTGCCCGTGTCTACACACGGCAGAGAAGGGCTGTTCTGAAATAAACCCCTTACTTTGAATTAACCTCATGTGTTTTAAACCTTAATTCCAAGTAAGGAGTTTATTTCGGAATCGCCCTTCTCTGCCATGTGTAGACGCAGGCAGTTCTTCCGGGCTTGTCAATTTTCAAAATGGCAAGCGCCCGGGAACATGCTAATGAAGTGCAGGATATTTAAATCCCACACGTCATTTGCAATTTCGGTCACCCTCATTAGCCTCCCTAGTTCAGACTAGGGGGCTAGTGTAGACATACCCATAGTTCTAAGCTCCAGAGCCAACCATTTGAAATACTATATTGTTATAATGTTATAACATCATACAGTAGCCATGGATAGAAAAGGAGCTCAGGGCGAGGCTAGCACAGTTTCTATAAAGAGGGGAAACAGACTGTTATTTGTTTTGGTTGGTCTTCAGTAAAAATGTTCTAAACTGTTTGTTTTGTTCACTTCATAATGCCACCTGCCAGTGCTTATTCTACGGATGTTAGCTCAAAGCTTACTGAGAATTTGGACAGATTTGGCTTTTTCAGCCTGCTTGAACTGGTTTTTATCCAAGGATGAGCAGAGACTGAAAATATCTTGTCTGGACTAAGCCCAAGATAATATCTTAGAGTTACACTGCTCAACCCCATAAGGTTTTGTTCAGAAAAATAAGCAGGAAAGTAAAGTAAACCAAGATTCTTGGTTATAAGAGCAGATCCTGGGCTGTCTGATGTTTTTGCTTCCTCTTTTCTTAAATAAATCAATATTTTTTGCTAGATAAAACCTAAAGGGAAGAAAGAAGCCTCCTTGAGAGCATATATTGCATTTATCTTTTGAAGCTGCTTGGCCTTTTTACACCACATATTAGGAACAATAAACAAAAGAGAAATAGAAAAAACAGCCATTTCTCTTGTATTCAAACCTATGAAAGACTCAGGGCAAAAGTACAAAATTTAAAGGGATAAAGGGGGGTTTGATCTAAGCCCATTGAAGTCAAAGGGAGCCTTCCCATTAATTTAAATGGATTTTAGATCAGCCTAGAATTGGTCCCAAAGTTCAACTTTTGTAAAAATAATCATGCAGTGGCTGTATTTAGCATGAAATTCACTCTTGTACAGAGGGCCACATAAGGCCTCTGCATCAATTAAGTTCTTTAAAATAGGATTTAAATTAGGCTTAAATGCTAAATAGATTATATAAATTAATGTATAACACACTAGTGGCTGTGTCTAGACTGGCCAGTTTTTCCGGAAAATCAGCCGCTTTTCCGGAAAAACTTGCCAGCTGTCTACACTGGCCGCTTGAATTTCCGCAAAAGCACTGACTTCCAACTGTAAGAAATCAGTGCTTTTTGCAGAAATACTATGCTGCTCCCGTTCGGGCAAAAGTCCCTTTTGCGCAAAACTTTTGCGCAAGAGGGCCAGTGTAGACAGCTGAGATTTGTTTTCCACAAAAAAGCCCTGATTGCGAAAATGGCGATCGGGGCTTTTTTGCGCAAAAGCGTGTCTAGATTGGCATGGACGCTTTTCCGCAAAAAGTGCTTTTGCGGAAAAGCATCCGTGCCAATCTAGACGTTCTTTTCCAAAAATGCTTTTAACGGAAAACTTTTCCGTTAAAAGCATTTCTGGAAAATCATGCCAGTCTAGATGTAGCCTCTATGTGTAATACATATACATTGCAAACCAACTCTCTTCTTGTGTCTAACTGAGGGCATGACTACATTACCCTCAGGATCAATGGGCAGCAATCAATCCAATGGGGGTCGATTTATCGTGTCTAGTATAGACACAATAAATCAACTGCCAAGCACTATCCCATCGATTCCAGTACTTCACTGGAACAAGAAACATAGGTGGAGTCAATGGGAGAGGGTCTGCCCTTGACTCTCTGCAGTGAAGGCACTGTGGTAAGTAGATCTAAGTACGTCAACTTCAGCTGCTTTATTCACATAGTTGAAGGTGCATAACTTAGATCTATGGCCTGTGGTAGACTAGGCCTCAGATACCAACACTACCTTAATGGTCTGTCTTGCATAGAATACCTTACAGAAAGCCACAGCAATTATTTCTACTTCTGTATTTAAATTAAGAGCTGCTTTCAGTTTGATTTGCCACCTGCCATTTATGTAATTCTCAGCCATTGCACGTTTCAGTGTTTGTTTCAAGATTAAATATACAATGTTATCAAAGACAGTTATCAAAGAAAAAAACACAAAATATTTAAACAGTACAATTAATTCTTTATCCAAGGATTCCCAGTGGGTGCTGCTAGCCCATCAGCAGTTTACAGCCAAAACATGTTTTTTAGTGAGATAACACATCTGATTTACATCTATTCTGGTCTATCTAATAGCACATTTTGCCGTCACATTAAAAAGTTTGCTAATATGTAATGTATGAGAATGTTACACAGCCCTATCAATTTAATCAGATTTGGACTCTTAATCACATGAAAGCAAGTGACTATGTAAAACTGGTTAATTATCTCATCTATCACTATCAGGATCTGTCAACGGATTCAGGGGCTGCATAACTACTGATCTGTGTCAAGCATTCGCAAGTTGCAAATTCCCTTTGTTTGGTGATAATCCAAACTCCACTAGCCTGCAAATGACACAGGGCTCCCTCCCCTTCCAAGGGCTGCATTCTCTCAAATCCAGTGGATCTCCTGGTTTAACTTTTTTGTTTTAATGTCATTAAAGGCTCTTTTATTTCTAGATATTTCGTTATGTGGCATGACGTTCAAGATCCATGTTGAAGTAGAAGCACTAGATTAAATCATTAGGTTCTTGGTTCTCCTGGGTGCAGACCCCAAATCAGAGTGCTCAGTTTGGGCACTCAGATCAGTCATTAGTGTCCAAAAGTTCAGATGAACTAAAACTAGGCTCCCTATCTTAAGCCTCCATGTCTGAAAACTTAGATTCACTCTGAGCCACATGTGCCTTGCTTTACATGGGCTTATTGACTTCCACACTCATTATGGGAGGGGGGAGTTGAATTTGGTTCAATAGACACTGAATTCAGTTTCCTGCAAAAGCCAAAATCCACTCCCCAGGAGGAATAATTCAGCTCGGCATTGGGAAATTTGGTAGGAGGAAGTATTAAATGAAAGCCTCCCCTATAGGCCACTGGGTGGGTAATGGAACTACTCCCTAGCTGCTACTGGAGGCCTCCACAGCTCTGGTGCATCTTCTGTCTTCACCCCCCTGTAAAAGTAAAGCAGATCCTCCAGCCCTTGATGGGAGCAGGGGGAGGGAAAGCACAAGGAGCCATGGCTCGTCCTACCAGTTTTCCTTCATACAGTTGATTAAGTCAATTATCCGTGCAGGTGCTCAAAGGTGCAGCTACTTGTTTTTATGCCTTTATCGGCTTTGACATAATCGCCACCACAGGAGAAGAAGCTAAGAGTCCCAACACCTCCATTCCCTATGCGATCACAGCTTCATTGATCACGTGCCTGACAGCATACGTATCTGTAAGTACCCACTACATAAAACATATCTCCACAATGGCTTCTGTGCTGCTTTCTTTAGTGAGATAATGTGCCAGTGAGATCATATACTAAATGTTTCCTGCTCTGGTAGATGTGCACGCCTACATCAGCCGTGGATGTGTTTGACTACATCAGTGCCCTTTGATCTTCCAGCCTGTTGTTTTCAAGCAGATAGTTTCATTCTGATGGGGATCCCATTTCCTGTGCAGGTTACATGGAACATGTGACAGACCATCTGACACAAAGGGGAGGTCAGTGTGGAAGACTCCAGCAAAGCAAAACAAAACAGAGCAACAAGACACATTCCCCAAGCTATATCTTTGGAAGAGGAGCCACTCCCACTACAAATTTAGGATGCTGCCCAAGGCAGCACAGATCATAGATCACAGGCAGTAACAGGTGTGGGTGGCAAGCATAGAAATGGCAGAAGCATTGTTCTGTTTCTCTGCATTCAAATAAAGGTGCATCTGTATTCAGGGTAATGGAACAAAATTGAATGAGTCAGAGAGGGGGAAATGTTGTTCTGACTGTTTAGCCAAAACCTATCCAAAGGCCACCAGGTTAGCCTCTTTCTTTCATCATGGCAATTACCAGCCAAGTCCCTTCAGTTACTCTGCATTCGGATAATTGCTCTGCAGTAAGAATATATTTTGTCCTTTGCACATAATGATTTAAGTAGGTTGTATAATAAACATAAGAAGCGCAACCATTTCTGAAACCACATTTGAAATATTTCTGACCTTCATCATGAGAAATTGACCTCGTCCATTGTGGATTCTTGGCAGAAATATTTGCTGTGGTAATGTACAATCCTCGGTACTGCTACCCTGGTGTCTTCTTTTGTCTTGATAGGTGAGTGTTATCTTAACTCTCATGGTGCCCTACTCTGCCATTGATACCGAGTCCCCTTTGATGGAAATGTTTGTAGCCCGGGGATTCTATGCCGCTAAATTCGTTGTCGCCATTGGATCTGTAGCGGGATTGACAGTGAGCTTGCTAGGCTCCCTTTTCCCAATGCCTAGGGTCATTTATGCCATGGCTGGTGATGGGCTGCTCTTCAGGTGAGTCACGCTTTTGCTGTCATTTCTTTTTATCCCCGTGGCACTTTGTGATGTGAGTTTATGTTAAAAATGACCTGCCGGTCATTTCATCTTTCCTATGGGAACCTCTCATTTGCAAGGTTGCATTTCTCTTTTAGCATGTATGTGAGCAAATAGCCAGAAAGCTGCAACAGCTGAGAAGCAGTGATACCTTGAGAAAGCTTCCCAGCAGCACAGGTCTGCTAGGAATCCTTCTCCGAAGTTCTAACAGGGGAAGGGAATCGCGTGGGAGTACTCTCAATCCACTCTTCCACATGCTCTGAGAGCCATCTCCTGCCACTGGATGGAACACTGGGGCAATGCGAAATCAGCTTAAAAATCAGCAACTGGAAATGTGAGCACAAATCAGAGCATATAATCTGGGAAATCAGGTGGGATCTACAAGTGCATTAGCTGATGTTAGAGTTTACATCGGAAATGTGTGTCTGCAGGTATGAGGGTGAAGTGAATAGTCTAAATAAGAGTAGCACATCCCTGTGCCTTGCATGGTCAAAATGACCGGGTCCTGCTCACACACAGAAGACTAAATGGACAATAACCCATCTACTAAAAAAACTAACTAACTACTCTCCAAGTAAATGTATAAAGGCCAAAACCACACTTTGATGTAAGACTTTTGCTTTTTTCCAAAAAGGCATGTTAAAAATTGCCTGAAATGTTCCTGGCCCATTACTCAGCACAGTGACTTAAATTATACCAACCTTATTACAGATACCTTTCCCCCACTGAGAAATGCAATCTGGGTTTTTTTTCATAGAAAAGAGAATAAAAGAAACAGCCAGAATTGTACAGAAATTACATCTATGTATTTTCCCTAAAATAAACTCACATCTAGATTGTAAAACCTGTAGCAAACTTTGTGTTTGCTTGTTTTATAAAAGAAAAGGAGTAATACTTCTACTGTGTCTGAGAATTAAATATATTCCATTTGACACAGCACCTTTACTATAAAATACTTGCACTGCAGAGCTTTGAATTTGCACTTTGAATTTACAATGAGTTAGGAACACTGTTCCCTGCACATTGTACGCTTGTTAGGCCACTCAGGGAGATTCAAATGCCACCCAGCTGATTAGCAAAGCACCCACAGCTAGGTTTGTGTTTCTATTGGTGGTGCACATTTGCACATGCCTCAGTGCAGATAAAAATGTATTCTGCACATGAATGGAAAAGACTAGAGGGAACATTGGTTAGGTCGCAATCCAAAACCCAGTGAAGTCAATGGGAGATCTTCCATTGACTTTAGATAAGGCTTTTAGACTATAACTCGGGGAGATCCAAGGCTTGTACATCGTGATGCTATGTAAATACCACAGGCCAACAGATAGGTGTAGGTCTCCACAAGTTAAACATATATGAATATAAGGTAGGTCATACATGTGTTTGTAAAATGCCCAATTCTATAAATGTTTCCAAGCTTAGTGTTTTTTATCATGAGAGTCCCAGTTATGATCAATGAAACTATTCATGCTAGCAAGCTCAATAGAAAGGATAGCCATAGATGGCATAACTCCAAGTCTCTCCTCTGTTTCATGTGCACCTCTAGTGAACTGATGGGAGCACGGTCAGAGAGAGGGAGAATGAAGTCCTAAGCAAGTTTAAAAATACCCATCCTGGGCTCAAATCTCCTCTCATGGAAGTCAATGGGCATTGAAGGAACAGAAACGCAATCCAAAATCCAGTGAAGTCAATGGGCATTGAAGGAACAGAAGTTTGACACCGTGTAGATTCAGACACGAGGGTTTATTACGCACAACACTAGTGGAGTGTCACTTTGCTGTTAGGCTCAGTGAGACACTGCTAAACAATTGATTACAATAGATTATAGAGGGGGGCAAAGGACAGAGAGAAGCGATGGGATGGGAGTTCCCGAGTCCCTGGATAGGTTCAAGCAGCAAGACAGAATTAGCACAATAAGCCAATAATCTGAAAGGTTACATCATTGCTCTGCCCATAGCTCAGGTTAACATGTTTGCTATTACACGGGTGTTATCCCTCAAACTTTTCCTCTTGTAAGGTGTAAATTAAATCCTGATTTCAGGTCCATAGAAATGACGGTGGCACTTCCCAGACAGGTTGGCCCACAGCTACATTCCTAGAGGGTCTCAAAGCAAAAAGAACAGTAAACAGTACACAGCAATGGCAATTGTGTATAGTTTATCAATGCATCCTCTTGAACTTGGGTTGGCATCTGTGAGGGACAGATGCCATAACTTGGGTTGGCACCTGTGAGGGACAGATGCCATAACTTATGCTGACATGCTAGCCCTCTCCCTGATCTCTGGTTGGCATACAGAGAGTATTACTTGTTATCTTGTCCTGAACCACGGAGTCCCTTCCGAGGCCCCTCTCTGTGAGTAATGCGCCCGTAACTCATGATAAGTCTCCAGTTACTGCTCCCAACCTGGGGTTGTGCTGTCTACACTTGTTATTGCTGGTTAAACAAACATGTCTGTTTCTTGCTTATCTCAACCTTTCTTTAGCCATGTATTGTCCATTGTTAACTAGGCCTCATGCCTCAGACCAGGCCCGTGGAGTTTGGGCATATGTGAAAGATTCTTAACAGAGACTGTGGTCATGATCTTAAATATTGGAATGTAGGCCCTTTAGGCATTTCACTGTAAATGATCTGATGCGAACTTCAAATCATACAGAGATGCCTGGAGTTACATGCTACCCAAAATTCAGAGGAGGCTCCCTTGTCATTATAATCATTTCTTTGGGAGGGTCAGGGCCTGGAGTTTTACCCAGAGAAGCAGTTATACTAGGGCTTAGTCTAGGTGCAAGTCCCAGTATTGTGGTTTTGCATCTATGTAAGTGTTACTGTCACAGGGAGTCTCTGCTGCGTGTGATTTTAACATTCTGTTTCACACTCCAGATTTTTGTCCCATGTGAGTTCTTACACGGAGACTCCAGTGGTGGCTTGTATTGTCTCAGGATTTCTAGCAGCACTTCTCTCCTTGCTGGTCAGCCTAAGGGATCTGATAGAAATGATGTCCATTGGCACACTCCTGGCCTACACTTTGGTCTCTGTTTGTGTCTTGCTTCTCCGATACCAGCCAGAAAGTGACATTGATGGCTTTGTCAAATTCCTCTCTGAGGAACACACCAAAAAGAAGGAAGGGATTTTAGCTGACTGTGAGAAGGAGGTTTGCTCTCCAGTGAGTGAAGGGGAGGAGTTTACTGGCCCGCTCACCAACACGTGTGGTGCAAAAAATCTGCCGTCATTGGGTGATAACGAGATGCTCATTGGGAAATCAGATAAACCTACCTACAACATCAACCACCCCAACTATGGCACAGTTGACATGACCTCAGGAATTGAAGCAGATGAGTCTGAAAACATTTACCTCATCAAGCTGAAGAAGTTAATAGGGCCACGTTATTACACAATGAGGATTCACCTGGGACTTCCGGGGAAAATGGATCGCCCAACTGCAGCCACTGGCCACACTGTCACCACCTGTGTGCTCCTGCTTTTTGTCCTCATGTTCATCTTCTGCTCTTTCATTATTTTCGGGGCAGACTATATCTCTGACAAGAGCTGGTGGGCTGTTCTCCTGGTGGTGTTGATGGTCCTGCTCATCATTGCACTGGTATTTGTGATCTTGCAACAGCCTGAAAACCCCAAAAAGCTGCCATATATGGCACCTTGTCTCCCTTTCGTCCCTGCGTTTGCCATGTTGGTGAATATTTATCTCATGCTGAAGCTCTCCTCAATCACGTGGATCCGATTTGCTGTCTGGTGCTTTGTGGGTAAGTCTTGGCTATTTTTTTTTTTTTTTTAGTGAGTCTGTTTTAAAAGAGCTGTAAAAAATAACTTCTCTGGCAGATGGAATCCTAGATGTCACAGTCCTTTTTCCCCTCTGCCCAACTTCCTGGCCTACCCTTCCTTTTCTTCTGCTTTTTTTCCCCTTTGTCCCTGCTTTCCCCTTATGTGGCCGAGATTTTTGAATACAGGTTGACCCTCTAAAATCCAGGACTCTCTGGCCCGGCAGCATCCGTGGGCCTGCCAGACCACAGATATTGCTGGACCAGAGAGCCCCAGCTGGCCAGGTTCAGAAGTGCAGCCCAGTTGGCCTGGCGGAGCACAGCCTCAGTCAGAGCTGGCATGGTGCGGGTGCAGCACCAGCCAGGGCTAGCAGCAGAAAGCGCAGCCCCACTCAGGGCTAGAGGCAGCCAGGACAGCAGTCCCCGACAGTGCTGGTGTTGGGGGGCCAGCAGCCTGGGCCAGTGCCATGTGGGGTGCAGCCCCAGACAGAGCTGGAGGCAACAGGGCCAGCCCCTGTCCAGAGCTGGCACGGTGTGGGACTGGAGGCAGGGGGGCAGGCAGCAGGGAGCACAGCCCCAGCCAGGATCAGAGCCTATACCTGGGGAGGGAGCCTTGACCTCCCCTGGTTTGGCAAACTCCGTGTTTCGGGACCACTCAGGTGGCAAGGGCACTGGACCAGGGAGGTCTGACCTGGACAATCTAAATTCCCCCCAAAAAAGGAATTTTACTCATTAGAACAACTGGGCCATGCTGTCACTCTAGCCAGTCTGGCTGTGTCTAGATTGGCAAGTTTTTCCGCAAAAGCAAGTGCTTTTGCGGAAAAACTTGCCAGCTGTCTACACTGGCCGCTTGAATTTCCGCAAGAACACTGGCTTCCTACTGTCTGAAATCAGTGCTTCCTGCGGAAATACTATGCTGCTCCCATTCGGGCAAAAGTCCTTTTGCACAAAGCTTTTGCGCAAAAGGGCCAGTGTAAACAGCTCAGATTTGTTTTGCGCAAAAAAGCCCCGATCGCGAAAATGGCAATCAGGGCTTTTTTGCGGAAAAGCGCGTCTAGATTGGCACGAACGCTTTTCCGCAAAAAGTGCTTTTGCGGAAAAGCGTCCGTGCCAATCTAGACGCTCTTTTCCGCAAATGCTTTTAACGGAAAACTTTTCAGTTAAAAGCATTTGCGGAAAATCATGCCAGTCTAGACGTAGCCTCTGAGTTGTCAATTAGGGTTTACCACAATGCTTCTCCCCTCTACAGCATCTTCCCCTGTGATCACAAAGCACTTCACAAACTCAAATTAATTCCCCCCTCCTCTCCCGGAGGGGGCCCTTGTGTCATTATCCTCACGTTGCCAGCAGAGACACTGAGTCCGGGAGGAGTGAAGTGCTTTGGCCACAGTCACCCTGCAGGGCAGTGGCACAGCCAGGAATGGAACATCAGGTCTTGACTTGCAGCCTGACACTCTGTGCAGCCCATCACATTGCAGCTCCAGCAGTGCAGAGGTTTGGATGAACCAGTGGAAGGCTAGAGACTAGAAGCCTAGATTGCAGTCTGTCTTGTTAACCATCGGACAATACTTTCTCCTAAAGCTACCACTTAAAAGTTAGCATTCACATCAATGTAGGTATGCATTTAGTGAGGCTTTTCCCATCGCCAGCCTGTTCTACAAACATTCAGACAGTCGATGTCGACAGTAAAATGATCATCTCTACAATCAGCTTCTCTCCCACCACTCACCCATGTACATCCCTTTTCCCACAATCACCCCCCACTATCATCACAATCGTAACAACAGCCCCACGTCCACCAACCCACCCTCTCCAAATGCCCAGGAAAAAAAGAATGGGCCATACAGAGCCGGCCCAAGCTACGGGCTGACCGGGCTACCTCCCAGGGCGCCCCATTGTAGGGGACGCTGCGCGGGGCTGCCAGGCCAGGCGGGGGCAGCGCCACACATGCTCCACTTGCCTGGGGTGGCACCACACATGCGCTGGGTGCCCTGGGGCAGGGCTGCGCATGCGTCATACTCCTGGGGGTGGCACCGCACTCCCGGGGCACATGAATGGCTCAGGCCGACACTGCATATAGCAGGTCCAGAAGATTAGCAAATCTGGGCCCTAGAGAGCCAAAGCAGGACTAGAATGCCCCAGTCAACCATCCCTCATGGAGAATACGATTATTTGTATTGTGGTAGGGCCTAAAGAGCCCCAGCCACGGAGCCCATAGTGCTTGTGTGCTGTACAAACTCAGAACAAAAAAGTTCCAGCCCCAAATATCCAGCCAGAAGCCCCGTCCCAATCCAGCCAGAGCTGAGGAGCCTACACTGGTTCCACCTTTGGCACAAGTGAGAGTTGGGAAGCTGCATGTCAGTGCTAAGTGTTATTCTGCTTACAAGATTAAGCCATTTTTAACAGTGAAGAATGGGCAAAGATTGACATCAGAGCTGACAGCTAGTTGGCCTGATCTAAATTCACGTGGTCCAGCTGTAATCCTGCCTAACAGGGTTTGCGATGGGGGAGAGAAGAGCAGCTCGGTGTTTACTAGAGTGACACTGCTGGACATTTCCTTCCAACTGGCAGCTGGGAGAAATGTACTCCCTTTGCCTAAATGTGAAAAACAATCAACAATGAGCACCCCTCCCCCTCCATTTGTGTTATCAGCAGCAGGCAGGTTTTCCTGTTTGTAAAAGAATCCAGGTGCCCCACCCACCATGATAGCTGCCTGGGTCATCACAGAGCTGCAGGGCCAGGGCAGATTTCAGCAGCTGTTCTTTCACCTTCACTGCATAATTTGGGGGCTGCTTTCCCTAGCAAGTAAATTGCCTGTTTTATGAATCACATGTTGCACTAAAGCCAGTTTTTATGCTTTTTTCCCATCACTAATTTGGGTACCTGTTCAGATTAAGTGTTCTCATACATGAATCCTCAAGTTGTTTGACAGACTGTCCTCCAGGAGAGGTACACCAAAGAGATGGCTAGCGATAAAGCAGTTTATTCGGTGAAATGAATTATTCTCCGTTCTGTAGCTGCTGAAGGACACAGCCAAATTAAACTGGCTCTAAGCACCGGCCTGATCTCTCCATTACAGAACAGCTGAGTGACTCACATAGTAGAAGCGATAAGCTGATGTTATTCAGCTCATTTGCAACATTTCTAGTCATAGCCCCTGATCCACATGGATGGGCCCTGTGCTCCCACAGAGCCCTACTGATTTCAGTGGGACTATTCATAAATGTAAAGGTTTGTTTGGGTCAAATTGTAGGATCGGGGCCATAGAGAGCACAGGAGTTACTCAATTAAAAATCATCCCAGATTTGGGTGCAATTTTCCCAAAAGGTCTAAGGAGCAAGCCAAGGAGTGAGCTTTTCCAACTGCATATTCTGCCCACTCCCAGGCTGTCGGGAGTTGATTGTCTCATTCCTTGTCTCAGGCCAGACTTCGTGCTAACTGCACCATTTAGGGTCAGTCTTCATTGCAGAGTTGACAAGAATTAGCAGTGCTTGAGTCCCTCCACCTGAGTTATCCTCGCTCACGAGCGCAGCCACAGTGCAGAATAACATCCCAGCTGCTGTGTTTCACTGCAGTCGCATGTGCGTGGCATTAAGACCCTTGGGGACACATCCCATCTGGGGAGCCACTGGAAGCTGAACTGCATCCAAGGGAGGGGAGGAATAGCTCAGTGGTTTGAGCATTGGCCTGCTAAACCCAGCCTGATGAGCTCAATCCTTGAGGGGGGCCATTTAGGAGCCTGGGGCAAAAATCTGTCAGGGATGGTACTTGGTCCTGCTGTGAGGGCAGGGGACGGGACTGGACTCAGTGACCTCTCAAGGTCGTCCCTTCCAGCTCTGTGAGATAGGGGCTACAAAGGAGTCATGTTAGCAGTTGGAAGTTTTAGCCGGAACCCAGTGACAGGCCAGCCAATTAGAACAGAGAGCACTACCGCACTGCAGCTAATGTGTTATGTGTGTGGATACAACTTGAGTGAGGTGTAACATTCAACTCAATGTGCAACTCAACGCACTGCAGCTAATGTGTTGTGTGTGTGGATACAACTTGAGTGAGGAGTAACATTCAACTCAATGTGCAACTCAAGTTACCTCTGCAGTGAAGACAAGCCCTTCTGCTCTTGACACAGGAAAATGCTGTTCCATTCTGGTTAACTCGTTTCTAAAAGGTTATAAGAGAAGCAGGAGGAGTGGAGAGAAGGGCAGCAGAAAAGGCTAGAGGAACAGAAAGCCCTCCATGTGCAGCACTGTGGTTTTGAAAACAGACAAATGAAAGGTAACATGGTAGAAGTGCTTAATGAGTGGTGCAGAAAAGGGCATTAGACACTTTGTTTTTGCCCCTACATACACTAAAACAAGGGGAACCCAATGAAATTGCTGGCAACACTTTTACAACCAGGCAAAGAAATACTTGTTTTTGCTTCACACAATGCATCACTGAAGCCAAGAACTTACCAGTATGTTAAAAGAATGAGACATTGATATGAATAACCAGAACAGGCATAGTTACCCGAGGTCAAGGTAAAATAAGAATAAGATATATAAATCCTCGTGCTTTGGGCATAACACAGTCACTATCTATTTGGGACTTGCAAAGTACTTCTGTGAGTAGATTATTCCAGGATTTGTCTGTAACGGGGTAACTTGCACCTTCCTCCGAAGCAGCTGCTAATAGGATACGAGGACTTATCCAATTTGGCAATGCGTGTGTCTGCTATGTTCCTAATTGCAGTGTGAGACTGTGTTCACTTTTCCTGGATGACATTGGTTCTCCCAATGCATGTAGCATCAAATGAGGATGTATTGTCCTCCCCAAGCCCAGCAGAGCACTGAACTCCGCAGCTTTAAAACTGAAATTGGGGCAAGTGGCAACCCTAAAAACTCATTTCCCTTAGGACCTGGAGTGTATTGTAGAGAGAGAGCATCTTCTGGGGCTGTTCTCTTGAGAAAGGAGGAGCGATACAGAATCTCTATGTACAATTCCAGAGGTTCCCCTGAGCAGACCTGTCCCAAAGGTGCTCTCTCTCTCTCTCCACTTCCCAATCAGACACATTGCGTCATTGCTGCACTCCAGAAATAGAGCAGTACATCCTGTAGCTTCGCAGCACTCACCCAGAATCTAAATAGTGGTAAACAATTTCATTTGTTTTGCTTTTGCTTTTTTATATCAAAGCAGCTCTGTGCCGCCAAGCAGCAAAGTAAACAGAGGGCTTCACAAAAGAGCTTCACAGGCTATATTTTTAGGATTTAATTGGACTGAGAGCCGACCAGCACTTCCCAGGGCTCAGCACTGCAGCTTCATTAAATTTCTATGAACAGGCTGACCATCTGGCAGTGCAGGAGCCATTGTTTTCAACCCTACCAGGAGATTTCTGGGACCCTGGCTCATCTATTTTTTAAGACTTCAGGCTGACTGGGCATGAGGAACTCGGCAGCAGGAACAGCAAGTCTTATTGCTTCGTGTGGCCATTTTAGTAAAATCATCCAGCTTCTGAGCTTAGGCAAGCAGGAGTCAGTGGAGTTTCTGGTATTGCCAACCATAATTCCCTCTCAGCTGCATGGCTGCAGATCACTCTCCCAATGCCTTGAAGCTGCCAGGGGAGAGCCTCCCCCCACCCCTCCACTGGCTCCAGTCCTGAGCTGCTACAAGCAGCAAGGGGGAGCCCCTCCCTGACAGCCCCAGCCACCCTGGTATTCCCAAGCCCCAGCCTCCTACCCCACCTTGAGCCCCTCACCTCCCTGCATACCCTCCTGCACCCCAAAGTCCTCATCCATGGCCCCACCTCAAAGCCCATACCCCAGCCCAAACCCTATACTCCTCCTGCATCCCAGCTCAGAGCCCCTCCCCAAATGTGGAGACTCCCTCCTGGATGCCAAACCCCATTCCTCCAGCCCTATCCCACAGCCAGAGTCCTTGCACCCCAACCCTCTGTCCCAGCCCTGAGCCCCTCAACTCCAGCCCTACTCTTGAGCCCACACCCCCAGCCAGAACCCTCACACTCT